CACTTGAAGCACAGCGTCCACGTTCTGTATGTATAGTTAAACTCTTCGACCCCAACTGTATGCACTTTGCTTGCTGAATAGGCAGGCGTGAAGCAAACGAACATGACTAATATATATATAGAACATGTATAAGCACCGTCTTTGAATTGTATATACACCGACAAAACGAAAAGGACAACAATAGTATACAACACATATATGCACAAATACCGGACGTTTCATACATATATATATATAGTTTTTCACCAGAAGCCACCCTCGCCCACCCAGCTCTAGGCATCAGCACCTACAAAAACCCCGTTCATGGAACATGAACCACTGCTTCCCTGGTGAGCAGCTGTGTCCCATGGTTCGAAAGCTAAGTGGCAATGGCACCGCATTGCCTCGACCATAAGGCCCTAAGGAAAATCCAAACTGATGGGAAGCTTCTGTAGCTCAGTCCTCTTCACTTTGGAACAACTGGCTTTGGCCAGTCCCATTGGCCAGGAAATGACAAGCAATGCGCCCATTCACTTTCAAGCGTTGGATCTCAGTGCCATTCTTCTCATACCCAGCTTGCTCCAAATCAACGCCAACTGCCTTGGGTCAACAGGATTTGTTTCGTTTGAAGGTGCAAGCGTTGGCCCTCCTTCATAACCCTTTATCCCACAACATTCCAGGTGTGTATAGGGCATCAACACCAAAGGGACGATAGTTTGTGCAAGCGTGTGTTATTAAAAGCGATCCTGTTTATATACTGAGAAGGGACAGGCACTGGGGGTAGAACAAGCTGCTTAGATAAATGCTATACATATATATAACAACTTATATAGCAGTATGCTGTCAGTTTGTTTTCTTTGGGTGTATAGGTCCACCAAAAAGTATCACTTTGATGGATGTCTTTTTTAAGAATATGTTTATTCAAAAATGCTTTTCTTGTTCCTCCCCTTTCACGTGATAGCCAAGAAACAGCGAGCTCAGCGCACCTCAACGCCACAGCAAGCTTGTGCCGGCTGGCCGCAGTGGAAAAGTTGAAAGAGAAATGATGGACATCCTGGTTTGCTGCCAGGATTTTGACACCGGCTGCATTCCTGGTCCAGTACTTGTTGAGCGCGCGCCAGTTCAAAGGTTCCTGGAGAGCATTGTTCATGGCCTCCTTCATCTTGTCGTGATTGCCATCCATCTCCAGCTCAGCTGGAAACTGGGATGCGAAATCCATCAAAGCTTTGACAATCGGGTCTGAGCGAAGCGGGTCTGAAAGGAGAGCCTCTTCAGGCGACACATTCCGGCGCCCCCTGGACTTCGCCTTGGCCTTCGGCGCACGAGTCACTGCCTTGGCCTTTGCCTTCGCCTTCGCCTTTCCCTTTGGAAGAGCCTTGGCACCTGAAACAGATGGTTCCTCAGCAAGCCCTTCCGCATCCTTCTTCCTCCTACCACGGGTTGCCACTTTCTTGGCATCAATGCTTTCGCTTTCATTCTTGAGCGCAGCAGCTTCTGGCTGAGGTGTCTTGGTTCTGCGCTTGCGCGGCTTCTGATCATGATCTTTCTCAGTTGCGCTGGCTCCTGTCAAAAGGCTTCTCTTCTTTGAGATTCTTTTGGCATGCTTCCCTCCAGCATTCTTACCTTTGCCCTTACCTCTCTTCCCCTTTCGAGCCTTGCCACCTCGACCTCCACCCCTCTTGCCTTTGCCTCGACCTTCTTTTTTGGTGGCCTTGCTCCTCAACTGCTGATCACGTAAGACGAAGGTAACTTGTCCTTCCTCATCGGAATCATCATGGCCCCGCTCATCCGCATCCTGGCACGCGATGCTAGGAACAAAGTTGCAGTAACCAAGGATGGTGGCAACACGTGATGGAGAAAGAAAATTGCACAGGCTGACTTCTGTATATATAAGTTCCCACAAGTGTTTGGTAGCCACACAAAAAGTTGTCACTTCAGATGGATGATTTGGTGATATACCGCAACTGTCTTAACAGCACGTATATTGAGCTGCACACGCTGTCCTTCGGTTGGGCTTGGCCAGCCGATGGCAGAATTGCTTCCCCAGACTCCAAGGTCTTCGCATGCAGCTCCGGAGTCTGCTCACGCACATGTTTGGGTACTTTTCCTGAAGCAGTGGCATACTCCGCACGGCGAGCTTCAGCGGATGTCTGGGGTGAAGGCTCTGGCTTGGGAGAAGTCTCAGACTGAAGCTGTTGCAAAGCATCCTGCGCCTCCGCTGGTGCCAAAACCTGAGTCTCATGGTTGTCCACACCTGAGCCAAGTAGTTGTGGTGATGTAGACGTAGTAGGTCCTGCAACGAGGTCACGTTTCAGCAGTTTGCACATGGCCTCATTGTTGTAATGTGGCCGTTCTGATCGAAGTGGCGCAGGTGGATCTAAAATTTCAGTCCCAAAGGGGTGCGCAAAAACAAACAGTGAGATCGATTACACTTTATGTGTTTAGAGTTTTGAGACATCCCGGCGGTATGTTGCAACGATTACTGATTTTATTGCATATATATCACCCCACCCCGACGTAACATGTGTAAGGCCAAAAAAGTAATCGTGTGTGGAGCCTGGTGCGCAGGGGCGTCCCAAGGAGGGCGCAGCGGCAAAGCTTTGCTGCGCGTTCTTCCTCAAGCGGAGCCTCGAACACACCAAAAAGTTTGTACAAAAACACTGCGTTGGTTAGGCTTCCAAGTTGACTACATGTTTTAGGACAAGTGAACAATTCAAGTGTGTGGAGATGGGGCCTTTCTATATACCACGTGATGTTGTTCTTTGGCCTGTCACATCCTAGTCTCTTATATGTGATTTGTGAGACACCTTAGGATCGCACTCTTCCAAACGCTTCTTGACCAATTCCAGCTTCTGGCTAGCACCTTGAATTAAAAGCGACATGTTCTTGAAGAAGACTGGGCCAATAAATAGCCCTCACAAAAACGAGCTCCACCATACAATCAAAACATCCCTTTGTATGCAGCGCGAGTTAAAGCATTTTTTCAACGTTTGGTGTTCATATCGTGCTGTGCACTTTAGCTCAGTTTCTGACTGGCTTTCGCAGCGTCCGCAGGAGGAATAGCTGCAGACAATGGAGCTGCTGGAGCTTCAGGAGAGACCGGAGGGCGAGGTTGCTCAGTGTGCTCAGGTTGCAAACCACCATTTTCATGGGTAGGCTGAGTTTCAAACTGCTCTGGCTCAACGATCTCAGTAGGAATCTGAGCGCCAGCTCCAGGCTTTGAAGGACCCTCATGAATATCTTCACCAACAATCTCAACTTCAACATCTCCTGACCCCTCTTCCTCCGACCCGCCCTCGGAGTAATGATCCAGGTCAATCTCACCGGGCACCTGCCAATGTCAGAACCACATGTTGTGTATTTGTTGGATCAAGGACCCAATAACAGTGTGCAAGATAAAGGCAAACTATTTTGTATATAGATGTAGAGCCTCACATGAAGACTGGACCCTTTGAGATGGCCTCATTGCCCTTTTTAGCAGCAACTCTTTTTTCCTCCTTTGAGTTGATGTCATCGACGAGGGCCTGCGGTTGCCATGGTGTTTTCTGTGAATTGTTTACTTGATTGAAACAGATTACTCGAAAAACAGTGAGATTTTGTGAATAAGTTGTGCTTATGCAACTGGTTGTGTCAACGCTCAGTGCTTTGACTTGACAAACATTGATCCAGCGGGCCTGCAAACACGGATCCAGCTGTAGGCAGAGTTGCTGAAACTCCTTCACCTTATAGGACCAGTGCTGAATGGGAAGTCGGTTGAATTGATAGAGCACGGTTTACCCACACAATTTAAACACTTTCGACCCCATTCAGCTCAGCAAAGTGCACAACTTGTTTTACATAGAGTTTTTGTGAGCATCCGCATGAACAGGACGACTTATATATAATATGCAGGCTGCAGGGATGTTTACACCTTAATTGACAAGGGACCTTGCTCGGCTTGTGGATTCTGGTCTTCATCTTGATGAATGACAGAAACTTCCTCAACATCCAGCTGTCATGGATGACTTGAGTATCATCTTCTTGCCGCGAGAAGGTTTTGTACAGCAGGGCCAGTTGACCCCTCAGTGGCTCCACCAACGGCAGCGGGGCACCCGTAGTCTCTGCCATTTGCCCCAACAAGGGCAAGATCAAAGACTTGATGTGGGGATAGCAGGTGGTTTTGACTGACTCGGTAATATTTTGTGAGAACAAGACCGCATCCTTCTCACGGAGAAGTTGTCTGATGGGTTGCTCTCGCTCCCATGCCTCGTGCAACGAAGTCAAGTCGAGTTTGGCCCTGCCCTCCACAGAACCAACGTCTTCAGAACTCATGGCGCCACAGGGGGCTGAACCTATACACAGTTGAGTTGAGTCTTCAAAAGCTATAGGGCCAAATGCTTCAAATGGATATGGGTATGGACATGCAGGTTTGCCGACCGTTCCCATTCACAAAGCTGCTCTCTTGCAGGAGTCAACCTGGCCTCTTCCATCTTCACCGTGGAAGCAAAGAGCCAGAGAGTGGCTGGAAAAAGCATGAAGCAGCGGCCGCATCCAAGCGGATGTCAGGGTTGAACAGGAATTCTGTGGGACGATAGAAATTCATGAAGGCTTCATGTGGGACCTTGGTTCATGTGTGGTGGAAGTCCCTTCACACTACAATTACAGTATAGCCTGCACTCTGGTGCACTGATTGAAAGAAACTGCATGAGGGCCTGAAGATTCCACATCTTGAGCACGTTTGAGCCCATGTCTCATGCTCTCCGTGCCACCCAGTTCATCCAAAAGACCGTGGTCGGCTTCATAAAGCCTTCAAATGTCCTGTTTTCATGCAGTATAGTGAAAAAACGAGTTTTTCCAGGAAAACACGAGTTTTCCTTGGTCACCATACTGAAACACGAGCTTTTATCGAAGAACCTACAAATTTGTAGGTTCTAGGCTCTTTAGGTATAACTTATAGCGTTCTTCAACCGTCAGTCTGTGATCTTCACACCTGAACACCTCCAGGTGTCAGCCCAACCCTCCGACCGTCATCCGATCCGCTCCGATAGGCTGAAGGCCACTTCCCAGCGCTCGCTACAGCGCTCGTAGATGCACTGTGACGCACCTCGGTGGCGCCGTGTGTTCTGCACAAGGCGCATGGCAAAAGGAGTCACCTGGACCTCGGCACAAGCTCCACCGGTGGTTGGAACCTTGGCTGATGGAACCAATTCTGCACCTATATATATATATAGCCTATACAGTATATAGATCCTTCTGGAACCATCAAAACACCGTGTAAAAACAGTGCCTCGCTGGTGGGTTTGCCGAAACCTGCTGGTGCCTGCGTCTGTCCCCGGTGGCTGAAAATAGATGTCACCGTGTCATGGATGAGCTGAGCGGTACTGGCACTGAAAACGCTTCACATGGAACTGACCACAGCCAACGTCCGCATGAGCTGAGCGGCTTCCCTCCGAGGCCGTCTTCAGGAAGAAACCTTAGAGAACGCACGGCCGTCACCGAGGGTCTGGATTCTCTGTGGATTCAGCGGTTTCCCTTGATGCCACACAGAGGTCCAAAGGGTTGCCACGGTTGTTTTCTTTCCTTAAGATGGCATGCCAGAAAAGTGTTCCAGCCAAAGAAATCGCATGAACCACATGGAATGTCAATGTTCAAAGCTCCCGAGATGTGGTTCTTTTCGACCATCTGGGGCGGTTCTTTTTGGGGTAAAACGGTCTGAGCGTCGATTCGGAAGACATCCTCTTCTATCAGTGTGCTTGGACCATCTCAAACACTATTTCTGATGCGCCATAGTTCAACCACATCAACGTAGACGTGTCGACATCAGTGTGATGAAAGAGAACCACATATGTGTCTATCATAGTTTGAGAATGGCGCGTGGGCAGCGAAACATCGGATCTCAAGACCGGTCAAGCTCGAAAGCCGACGTGAGCTCGAACCAGCGGTCGGATCGAACCCGTTGCTTCTGCCTGTTGAGCCTTGTCACCTGTGGGGGCCGCCCCATCTTCCAACAGCCGGCAGTGGTTTTGAAGTTCATCCGGCTCACCTCCTGTCATAAATACCCAGTGGCCCTTGCTGACTTCCACAAACAAGCAACAGTATATAACATGCATCGATTTGACTTAAAGTTGAGTTAATAGTACTATTATTATAGATATATACACATTAATTAAAGAAACAACACTCTGGAACATATCAAGATCAAGATGTTGGACCATTTATCTAAGTCGCTCAAAATGTCAGACGGAAATTCCCGAGCCTCACGTACTTGTTTGCAGTGATTGTGATTTCTGAGATTAACAAACGTGCATTCCATCTTTCAGGGGAAGGTGTAAAGAGTGGGGTGGACAGGTACAGGAATATTTGGAGGGAAGTAAACATTGTTATACAGTATATATATAACAATCCAAAACCTTCTTCTTTCTTCAGGTCTTCTCACTGAGGGAAACAACCAGGCGCTGCTACCACTCGAAGCAAAAGGCCAGCGGCAAAAGGATGTAAAAGGACCATGGCGAAACTCCCGTCCAGCAGTCCCAATGGTGACAATGAGCAGTTCCACCGCAGCCAGTATATGTACCCCAGCAGGGTGAGGGCCGATTCATCGGCCAGGCCACCCCTCTTGGGACTTGAAAACAGCAGGACTTGAACCCCTCTTGAACGTCTCCTCCCTCTCCGCCTCCTTTCCGGTCCGATCGCTCAGTGCCCCACGAACGTAGTCCTCAAAGCTCCTGGTCGCGGCTCCGTGCAGCGCGGAGTGACGACTGGCGACCCTGTGGTGAAAAGCCACGACTGGCGGGTCGAACCCAAGAGATGAACGTGTGTCTCTCATAGATAAATAGGCTACTACAGTATAGCTAGATATATAGGCTTGATATCATGTACACGTTTGTACACTGTGGGGTTGGGATGCCATATTACATGTACATGCTATCATGCTATCTGCATCTAAATTGACATGTTCTGACATGATACAAACGCACTGTATGTTTGTCCACGCACTGTACCCACAACAAAATGTCAGACGCAAACAGGGTCGCACCAGCTGGTTCGTCTTCCGGTTCACGTTCCGACACAAAACCGTTGGCAGCTCCGCTGTGTGAAACGGCGCCTGATTGGAAGCTGTTTCCCATTCAGAACCACCTGGCCGTTTTCGTGGCAGACCGACCGGGCACGACCGGGCACGGGCGACTCATGTTTCAACGGGCGCCAGCGGCGCGAGTCACGGGGAGTAGCTGCAAAAAGAAAAACACCGTGGACGGTCTGGATGAAGTAGCTGGATTCTTTGGGTATTTCGTCATGTGCTTCATGTGCTGTCACGCGGAGTTAGATGATTTTGAAGCAAACCAGTCAAGGGGGGCAGTATCAAGTAGGAGAGCCTCTTGTGCAGGGGAGGTGCAAGCACCGTGAGATTGACTTGAAGAATATCTACTTGCTGCTCTTGGCCAAAATGTTGCCCAAAGAGCACAATCTCTGCGAGGGTCTTTGGGGGTACCGTGTTCATTGCCCAATGTCGGAGACTGAAATTGTGCCTTGTCTATACTTGCCACCTTCAGAGTCTGGGTGCAAGGCTTGGTTTAAGAATCAAAAGGGCAGAGAATAGAATGAAGTCTGAAGTGGCCACAAAATCAAGGGGATTGCTGCATTGCAGGATGTGTTTGCACTCTTTGACAAACAAACAAACTAACAAACTAACTAACTGACTAACAAACTAACACAACCAACACAACCAACCCACCCACCCACCCACCCACCCACCCAACCAACCAACCAACCAACCAACCAACCAAACAAACAAACAAACAAACACACACACACACACACATGTCGCGGATCGATCGACCCGGCAGGTGTAGTGCCTTGATGGTCTTCGAGGTGGACGCTGCGATGTCGTAGACGCGTTTCATCATCAAGCTGCAAATATCATTGTCCTGTCGCACCCACCGGGTCGCACCGGAGGCCGCCGCGGCGCTGTGGGGCGGAAGGCAGTTCGGTTCGCCCGTCGCTTTCCCTCTGAACGCCCCACGATTTGAGTGGTTGAAATGCACTTCTGAAGCCAGATCGTGTGTGAAGTTGATGGGCCAAAACTGTCAGGGTTCAACCAGTTTAACCTGCACATCCTGGTTCAACCAGGTGGAGCAAGATGCCTTCCTTTGAGCAGTTTTCAAAGTTCCTCCACGGTTGCTTAGAGTTGCAGACCCCACCGAAAAAGCAGTATACATCCCTGATCATCCATGCTTACTAACAACCTCAAATCAATACAATAGTTCTCTTTGGTATCCAATTCTATGACATTCTACACGCGCATCTTACACTCAAACCCATCCTGCCGCCGATTCCTGCGGATCCCTCCCGCGCTTCCTCCACAGCCAGCAGCCCTCCCCTCCCCCCCCCCCCCCCCCCGTCGACCCCGACCCAAAACGAACCCGTTCCGGCGGGGTCCAGGGAGGTCATCCCAAAGCGAGAGAAGTCGGGCCAGAAGGTGACCTTCGTATACTCCTTGTCGCTCCGGCAGTCCTGGCGGCTTCGTGCTCCCGCATTCCGCGTTCCCCGCGTTCCGGAAGACACCAGGGTCGGACGCAGTCCACAGATCACCACGGAACAACACGCTTTTTCTTTACCATGAAGACCCACCAGTGACGGAGTGGCTGACATTGGCCATCGGACACACGCAATTAAACATTAATATATATGTATACATACGTATCACTAGCATGGGGATCTATATCACAGGAAAAACCAGGACATACAAATATCCAGTATAGGAGGGAGATGGTTGGCATGGTGTGGAGATGTTTGGATGGTACCCCTTGTTAGAGGCATGGCCATGTCAGAAGTGCGCGGACTCAGTTCGTGATGCATCATTTGGTGGTCTCTAAGTTGACGAGGTTATGAGTTTCAATGGAAAATACACCGAAGCAAGGACTGGTTGGTGCACACACCATGTGACTCATAAGATCTATTTAATATATTCTATTACTGTACTCTACGCCACAAAAATAAGCCTGAGCATCAAATTGATTGGTTCTTGGATATTCCTGTACACACAGAATCCATCACCACCTGGACATCGCTGTTCTTTCTCCTTGAAAACGCAACAAACCGCCGCTGGGCCCTTCGGGGCTCGCAAACCACTGGGCCACCGCACGGCGACCACGGGGCTGTGCTTCTGCGTCATGTTCTTCTCGAAGATCTGCCGTTCGGACCGTTTGGAACACGAACAACACACCAGGGAACACACATCACAAAACTCAATGTGTATACGTAGAACCTGAGTGAAGCCTGTTTTGAAGTCAAAACATGGTCTTTTCCTATCAAAACTGAGGTCATATGGACAAATACATATAGAGAGATGTATTATGTATGTGTGCGTATCTTGGCAAAGGGTAACACCCCAATAAAAAAATAAAGTGGAAAAGGAAGAGAAGGACTACACGTCGCTGAGGTTGGTGCTTGATGCTCTTCTATTTTCTTATGGATTCTCATGATAAACCTAGCAGCAGCAACAGCTGCGGCTAGTGGTTACTACTGGCTTTGTATGTTAATGAGAGACTGCATCACAAGCAGGTACATCCCACTGTGTGCCTGGGTGAACTTCTTCTTGTTGTTCTTGTCCACCTCAGGATGAGGATCTTGAGCAAGACATGAGAACCATAGACATTGAGCCAGTCATCTCGAACAGTTTCCAACATGACTGACAACTCAAGCCTTGCACACCTTGGCTGTGACCAACCCTTCTGTGTAACCATGCCACGGAATGGCAAGCATTAGCCGCAGCAGCTCATCCCACCATCCACCGAGTCACACTTTTTCAAAACACTTTCGATGGATTTAGACATCAACCCAAAAAATAAAACAACATCAAAAAGACACAGAAACCCAGCATGTTGACACATTTCGCACCCAGCATGTTGACAAGTCAGTCAGTCCTTGTTGAAAACGCGCGGCTTGAGGACGTGGTGCTGGTCAAAGAACACGTCACATGGATTGGTGGAGTTCACCACCTGTTTGGTATAAGGAAAGTAGTCTTCCTTTCGGAAAGCCTGTTCGTAAGAGTGTATATCCCACTTGATGTAAACGATATATCACATTATATAACGATATCAATATGTTCCGAACGGGCTCCTGGCCGCCCCATCCGTTTCGAGACGGTGGTTGGGCTGGGTGGTTTTGCGGGTTGGAACTACCGAACCTGAGGATATGGTTGGAGCGCTAAGGTGTTGTCATCATGTATGATATATGAGAATATATGGAATATGTTCTGTTGAACATGTTGTATCAGCTGTACACATCATGTTCACATATCCCGTTGTCTATCTCCCTGACTCCAGAAAAAACATGGTTAGCAATTAATTTTCTCCACCATCCCTCTTCTTGGGCACGCGCACAAAAGGTCCAACCACCGCCCTGTAGACCCAAGAACTGAGAACAGGGGAATTGACACGATTGCCGAACAAAGGCGACCTGCTGGAATTCTCAGGGTTCAAGTTGGATGGAACCTTTTGCTTTTTCAAGCACAGCTAGGTCGGCCCTTTCCTTCCTGCGAAAGCGGCGGTCTCGATGATAAACTTCTTGGAGAACACATTCGTCAGCTTGGCGCCGTACCTCGTGAGGAGCGGAGCAAAGCCATGCAGAGCCATGCAGATCTCTTTTGTCCCTTGGATGTTCCAAGGAAACATAAACACATGCCAGGGACCTTCAGTTCGTGACCTCTTTCAAGTCTGTGTTGTGACCGTTGTGACCTCGTTCTGGGACTAAGTGACCGAACCCGCGGGATCTCAAGGACAGTCACGGACTGCCGGTGTCAGTCCTGGTGTTGAAAAACCAATTGCGTTGTCTCACAGTGTCTGATATACCTATGGTGCCCTGTTTTGTTTGTTTTTTTTTACAATGTCTCCATGTTTTTAAGGAAAATGCAAGTCTGCCTGTGTTGATTTCGATGGACGGATCCATGGCGATCAATGTCGGGTGGCCTATCGACACCGTTGGTTGGTGAATCAAGGATTGCGTGTGTCTGAGCCAAGCCCAGAAGAAAAGCCATGGGTTGAGTATCAAGAGAATCTCGAAAACGATCTCAAAACCATGAACACCGGCCCGAACTAGCTTGGGGGTTCTCTGATTTGGAGACAAAGCATGTCTTCGCAGTATCCTAGATAGTCTGAGTGGTTCTTCCTGTCAGCTTCGACCGCCCAGCCATTGGTTTGAACAAACGCAACACCTGAAGTCCTGAAGCATGTCCTTGCCAACAAAAAACGTCGTTCTGTGCGGCTAAAGGGCCCGCAATTTGGCCAGCCATACATGACTCCTAAACCAGCTTCAAGCCATGAACATAGGCCATGGACTCCAGGACAGTATCTTCAAGTAATCTCTTCTCAGGATTGGACCACCCCATGTCCTCCTGCACATACTCCCACTACACATGGTTCCGTGAATGGCATGGCACCGACGATGACCGTTCTCCGAAGACCCGGCTTCGGACAGCTCAGCCGCCGGCCCGTTACGACCGCCGGTGACTTTCTTCTCGTTGTCATCCTAAGCGGCACGTCATACGTCACCGGCACTTCTCCGATGGTTGAAAGCAATGTCCAAGACATCCTGTGACAAAGGATGGTTGAAAGTCTGGTCACACAGGTCTCCTGGAATTAGAATGAATTACAGTAGATGGTTTTGGGATGTGAACATCCTTCACTTTGAACAACAAGCATCGTGAAAACATTCTGAAAGCATTATATAATATAATGGCTAGTATGATGCTATTGATGATTGACATCTCCTTTTTTCAGATCCCTTGCATCAGGGATCAGCTCCCATGGCTTCTTGGCTTCTTTGGCTTCGGATCCAGCCACACGCGGACCGCGCTCCGACCGTCTCCGTCTCTGTCGACGTCTCATTGAGGTCCCCAGGCGTAGTTGTCACTGGTCAACAAGTGCCCAAAGATCAGCTCGGGCACGTAACACCTCAGACCCAAACGGACATGCAGGGATTAACGGACATGCACCCAAGCAGAATCACCATGTCACTGAGGAAATGAATGAGTTCACACATGAATGGCAAATGGCTCTTGCGGCGGCTCGTAGCATGAGAGCCAAAACCCAGAGCTGCTTCAAACATCAGCGCTCCTGTGATGTTAGCAGCTTCATGTCCGGGTGAAGTGGAGGAGCCCTTTGAAGTGTGAACATATCCTAGGTCCTAGCAGCCACCCCGACAACTGCTGGAATATGATATGCCGTGAAAAAAAAAAACAAAGCATATATATATATATCATATCCTAGAAGACCTCTATTTTAGACCGCCCACCCGGCCGAACCCCTGAAAAAATATGGCTCTTTCCGATGGTTCTGTCTGGATTCTAGGATGATCATGTCTGCAATAGGATGCACACAGAGCTCTGGCGGAATATCAGAGAGCTCTGCTCCTACTTGTCGCCCACCAAGTTGTGACAACCCTCACAGCTCCTCACAGCTCCCAAAGGTCTAGACCTCCGCCTCAACGCGCGTGTCGTGAAAGGAGGGCACTTCAAAAGAAAGAGGAATGGCGATCAAGTGCAGGATCAGCTTGAGAATCTCCAAGCAATATGGCGATCCACTTCCGGACCTGGTCCACTTCCACCTTGAAAGTGTCAGCCTGGCGATTCCAGCCTCCCCTTCTTGAAGTGCTTTGCTACCTTTTGGACATGAGCCGTGCTGCTGGCCGACTTCACCAGCCGTTTGTCTAACCTCAACTGGCTCCTAACCGGACGTGTCGTTCAAACCCGGTCGACGGGACCAATTCCAGTGTTTTTACCGATCTCCTCCCATGTCTTGTTTTGTACGTTTTTCTCGACCATGCCCGAACATGTAGGATTCAACAAAAATGCATCTGGGTTCTCAAGTTGCATCTGCGTGGTTGCACCATTTACCAGATTCAATTTCACCATCATCTCAATTGAGCCAACACCCTAAACCAACCTCGTCGCCTGAGCTCGCCTGGGTCGAACCGTCGCGAGTCGCTCACCGTCGCTGAGCGCCCGGCTTGTGCTCCTTGTGGATTTGCACCGGAATGCCTTGACCATTGTTTAAGACCTTGGCATTCCCGGATCGCATTGGACTGATCCGGTCGTTTTGGGGGTTGGACGTCTGTACGTACTGTGACTTGTACGGGCTGCGTGGACGCAAAAAACACAGGGCGGATCCAAAGTCCTGGCAATCGCCTTTTTGTAAGCGCGATTTATGACATGTATCATTTTGACACAGTGTCCAACTCTTCCTCATCTATGAGCAGAACGAAGCAAGCACGACTAGCTTAGGCAACATCCAAGCACAATCCTCCGAAGCCATTCGTGAACCTGTTTGAGATCAATTTGAATTTTCTCACCGAACAAAACCACTCGAGAAAAATATACAGTATCTGAGCGAACCTTCTCCTAACTAAGATAAATGCCAGCTCTCAATTAGTTTCAAAGCCATGTATAAACCAAAATGTGTCTTTCTGTGAAGATCCCTCGTTGGCGATTGCACGGCGCCACAATGTGTGCGAAGAAGCTCTAACATAGACAGACCACCGTCGTGGTAACCAATGTAACCAGCAAGAAAACCACGACCGCAGCTATCCAAAGGCTGTGCAAAATCCAAAGCACTGAGATGTGCTTGCTGCTCGCTCAGAATCGAGGTAATCAAAACCAAGTCTAACATGATTATCTTATACATATCGCCTGAAAAAGGCAAGACCAATTGCCCTTATTGCTTTCCATACATGTACAGGATCCTACACTCCCCAAGAAAAACACTCATCTATATATATATATTAGTTATATAACAAATAGCTTTATGATTTCTGTATCCTAATCATACGAGCAGCCTCTATTGGTCATCGACTTTGGGCGCCCCCCGCCGTGATGCAGTTCGCCTGGCGGTCGATGGTCACCTCGATGAGGTCCATCTGGCCATCGAGTACTGGACCACTTGAGTAGGCGAGTGGCACCGCAACGACCGAACGACCGTTTCAGCACCCAACCAACAGAATGTATACAGGTTAAGATGATATTAATTATGTTGCAGTTCAACCCACATAATATGAAGAGGTGTTGCAATGCGTTCCAATCCATGTTTTGGGGGTGTTATTAATCAAGATTAGAGCTCTACATTGACATTCTATCCAACCGTCAAACACCTGTATCCAACCGTCAGAAACCTACAACTTCTCTTCCAACGCAGTGGCTTTGACCCATCCTGGACGGCATGCATGACAGAGTGATCCTCTTGTGCACCATGTGAAAATTGAGACATCAGTGGCTCCACAGGTTGTCTCACATAGCGGACTCCCCGAGTCCCTGTTCCTGCATCCGTCCACGCCGCTGTCCTGCTCCATGCTTACAAGGTTTACACTCCAAGTCACCAACAAAATCATGGTTTGGTGGAGTTCAGGCCATGCCATCCATGTATTCTTTCAGATCTTTCAGGGAGTGGACGTAGGTTCCAAGCCTCATCCTACACCAGTCTAGACCGTGCTGTTTGGGGGGCTCTTCAAGTACATTGAATACAGCATTGTCAAGATTTGAATCACAGTCCGGGTTTGGCAGTTTGGTAAGTGTTGGCTTGAAACATGGGTCGTTGCCATCGTTCAACGGCGTGGATTGGCCCATCCCAGCATTCCAGCTTCCCATCCAGCTCCGAGTTCTTGGATTCAGCTGATGAAGCTGGGAACAAACAGGTCCCTAACATAAGTGATCTTCCCCAGGTCTTGCGGAATTGACCCAATGTGGTGGGAACATCAAGATTCACCCGGGACAAACCGCGATTCACCGAAACGCCAAGACCCATCCCATCCACCCCACGATGTGAAACCTGCGTGGAGTGTGCCACGTCAACCTCCGCGGTGTGCCTTCGCATCTCTCTTGGCGTTGTCTGCTGCGTTGACCAGAATCTCATCAAAGATCTTGTACAAGGCAGGAACCTGGGAATTTAGGCCGACATCAGATCAGCGGGGGGATTACCTTCCCTGGTTCCTTTGGACGGCTACATCCGAGACCCTCTGCAGCGGCAATTGTTCTTCACTCGGGGTGGTAGCACACACGGCGCTGAGTTGTGTCAGGACAGTGAGGGGTTGCTGAGTTCTGTTATACCCTCTTTTGCACTTCCTGATGTATCTGCACTGGGAAAGAAAACTGCCATGCCATGTTCATCTACAAACGTCTAAGTATGTAACTCTTTCAATATACCAAAGCAATATCTTGTGGCTCTGGCGATGAGAAAACTGATGCCCTATGTGCAATGCAAATACCCTTTGACATCCCAAATTCGCAGAGTATGTTTTAAGCGTGAGCACATATATGGGAAAATGATTAAGCTTTGAATTGTAACCTCTCACTACAAGTCCCTTTGTCTTGAGAAGGCTCATGTCAAGTGACTCGATGAAAAAACACGAAAAAACAAGGCAACACTTGCAAAGGACCACTCCAAATGTTGCAGTTTCTTCTGTACATTGACACATTGCGAAGCGCTTCGTAGTGTAGCTCATGTTTCATGGGGGGCCAAAGTACATGTTCATGGGGTTAAGTACATGTTCCAGGTTGATCCAGAAAAGAAGATGTATAGCAAGACGGGCTACGGTGGAGAATTGTGTATGAATGAATGAATCAATCAATCATATCTACACCAAAATTGAGATTGTTGATCTGCAGCAAAACTGGACCGCCAGGTCCAGCCGTCCACCACGAGAGTCCGTGCGTAGTCGATCTTCCGGTGTACCATTTGGTTCTTGGCCTCAGACGATCAGTGAGCAGCTGTTTTCAGCGAGACGATCCAAAAAGACTTCACATGTTAAATACTAAAGGTTTGAACTACATGGAGCATGTTCTGCCTATTACATTCAGGTACTTTTTCGGTCCTGTTCCATACATGGAGCTTCTTTCCGGCCAACTGGTCATGCTCAATCCGGCGAACTGGGTCGTTCCTCTTGTCTGGCTGTGGTGGCCAGGCCACACGAAAGACGAACGACAAACAAGCCGAAGGACCATTGATTTAGTTGGCATCAGAAGACAAGCCAGTTTTCACAGACAAGCTTCTGTTCAGTGTCAAGATTCTATCCCCAATCAGGGCTCTGCCACCCCGCAACAGATCATACAGATCACACATACCTCAAATTGCTGCAGATGTGGTCCCCTTGCTCTCTCCAGCAGCTTTTCATCCTCACAACAACCTTAACACCTCCCGCCTCATCGAAGACCCACATCTCTTGTAGTTGGTGCTCTGTGGAGCCTCGGCTCTCGCGTTCTGTGCCATGGAAAAGCAACGCTTTTTGGAGAACATCCTGCAAAACTCGTTTTGCAAAGCACTGGTGGTTGGAAGAATGTTTTGTAGACACCCCAGGACCCGTAGAGGGAGAGAGAGAGAGAGAGGGAGAGAGAGAGGGAGAGAGAGGGAGAGAGAGAGAGAGAGGGAGAGAGAGACCAATTCAATCCGCAGTGCAAGGTCTTGAACACTTTTGAAAAAATAGGAACCTCGAACGAAATAGACTCTGACTTGATTGAATAAGCTATCTGCTGTTTTGCCGGTTTGCCATATAAATATATACAGAACTTCTCCACCCAAACAGTCATAGTTATTTGACACACCCAAGACAAAAACAAAGGGAGGACATGAGAGAACATACGAGGTAGACAGAGACATCACCAACATAAATCATAAATAACATCCCGACGGGTTGGAAACCGAGCGCCCAGTTGCATGCATTTCACAACCGAATAAAGTGACTGAACGATGAAACTTCCATATGTTCGAGGTTCAGGGCGGTTGAACACAATGAACACTACTCGTTCAGTGTCCGCCGCGGTGGCACAAACATATCTATGAATATGTATAATATATATATATATAATATATACAAACTATTGAATTTAATACAATATATGTGAGATATTACAAAGCCAAAGTGAGAATTGGTATCCACCCAAACCTCTGAAGCCTGGGGGGATACACGGGCGATGTTGCATGTTTGATTTGCAGGGGGTGAACCCGAAATAGACCTTGCGCTGAAAATCAAGTATCTCACCAGTCACACCTCTGCAAACGAGTGAGCTTGTCGTCCAACCAAAACACCAAGCGCAATGAGGCTCAGACCCACATAGGTGTCCTTAGCTGAAGCCGCGGTGAAGCCGCGTGCACGTCTGCGCACAAAAGGAATAACGCATCGACATCGTCGTTTTGAGTCGGAAACACAGGGCCATGGGTCGACCATGTGGTCTATTCACGATACGCCCTGGTTCGGATACCCACATGGCACCTGAAAAGCAGTGGGTCGTAGACGTAGAGGAAACATGTATTTTCATACTAGGATTATAAAGGTCTATTTGCAGGTTCCGTGTTAATCTTCCCGGGGTGTAGGTCGAATTGACGATAGGTCTATGAACTGGTCCTATGATGGTCGGGGCATGAGTTGGCGATGGGTCTATTCACCCCAACAGGACACTTATTAGGTGGTTTATATATCCATGGACGTTATCTTGGACGTTGGTTTATATCTTGAGAAACCATACCCTCTATGATTTCAGGGTTGGGTGAAATAGCCCATCGTCTTGGTTGTTCAACCCGAGGTATGTCCAACATGAACAGTTCACTCCCTGGTTGTGAGTTGACCGGTGGCCATCCGATCTTCGTCAATCTCAGGGACCGATTCAATCAGCCAGTGGTGCCCCCTTCCCTTCCCGGCCAAAGTACGTATGCCGTATGCCTCCGAGTGAAGCCACACGTAAGAGGAAAAAATACATGTGTCAAACGGATACAATGATGGACGTGATCCTGGACATGATCCAAGTGAGGAGCAGCTTATGTCGATTTATTTCGGCCGGATGTTGAAACAAAGTGGCATTATGTTCCTCATTGTCATGCAGCGTATGGGACACGACTTCAAAGCTGCCTGCGTCGACCATAGTGGCCAGTACAAGCTCTGGGGATCTCCTGCGTCGACACAGCCCGCCCACGGTGCCCGGCTTGCTCCAAGTCACAGGTCGCAAGAGGATATGCTCCAGCTGAGTCTTCTTCCTGGGCGTCCAGGAAAAATGGATTTGGGAGTTGCACTCCAAAGGAAAACCAACATGCAAGTGGAGTTCACCACGTGTTTGGTGTTCGGAAAATGGTCATCCAAGGGGCCATGCCATTCACTTCCATGCTTATTTCAGGGAGTGTAGTCGATCACATCCAAGGAAGATTTCATGATGGAAACCTAGTACCCTGATGAATCAAGCTTCTTTGGGACTGAGGAACTACTGAGCTAGCCTTGATAATTTCATGGGACTGCGAAAAGAAAAGGACCATGACGTCATAATGTCAAGTCTATCTTGTAAAAAGTAAAAAAAAACGGCTGTGGGTCAAGAGTCAACACCATGTACCCTGCCGTCTGTGTCTGACACGCTCTGCGCGAACCTACACATACTGGCAAAGTGCCTCAACAACTCCGTATGTGTAGCTCCTCGTTCAAGGCCAATATGGTATTCGCCCATCAAGACGCATAGTATAGTCATATTGTGGCTGGCTCTTCAGACCCACTAGAGCCGAGACGAAAGCAAAGACCAAGACCGATGTGCTCCTAACGATGCATATCCCGATGTGTCTCAGGTCCAAAGGTGGAGCGGAGCCTGGATCGGAATGACATATGGCAGCGGGTCATGGCACCCCGAGCCCCTTGCACCAGGGTAGGTTGACTTCCCAGGTAGTCTATTCATTCGCCAGATGGTCAACCGAGGTGTCCCTGTTTTGACCCGTTTAGACGCCATGTGGTCAACTCGCCGGTCGTGCTCTTTGGATCGGACCACTGCCGAACTCCGGATCCAGGAGGAGATTGGGCAAAAATGGGCCACCGACCATGGGCCAATTGGGAGATACTAATTCAAGACACGTCGACACAAATGAAATCGTTTCGTCCGTCTCTCGTCTGCCGAGAGAGAACTGAGATCAGAGCTGGTAGATCTGCTCGATGGTCTTTCCCTTTCTCAACTGATTCCTAGCGATGGAATCTGCAGCTCCCACAAGCGGGTCTACGGATGTCTACGCTCTACATTACCTATTTGTACATGTTGTCAATCCCATGTTTGTTTTCCATTTGCTTCTGACCATCCGAGCAGGGGCTTTCCCCAGCGCAGGCATGCGCTGGCCTTTGTCAATCCCAACGGATACTTCAAAAGACTTTGCTTCTTCACGTTTTCACGTGACAAAAAAACTCAGCTTCCGACGCTCTGGCCGCACAGTTCTCCGCCTACGAGGGGCCGGCGTTGCTCGAGGTGGTCCCTCGAGTTTTCCCGATAAGGGTTGATCTTACCTTAGAAGCCCTGAAAGTCTCTCATGTTCACCCCATGGACATGTTCACCCCATGGACATGTTCACCCTATGGACATGTTCACTTACAACGTTGGTTCGTTTCGTTGTGAACATGTCCATGGGGTGAACATGTCCAGCATACTGAGCAGAGAGGAAGTGGCTTAAATTCGCCGGTCATGGTCTTCTTAAAGAATAACAAAAGCACGAGCAGGAACTTGCAAGGCCAAATGGTTCCAGGACGGCATAGAAAGAACATGAAAGAACTACATGGGCCCTGCTCCTGATCTGCCAAATGGGATGTTGATCATGTTTTGCAGGACCAAATCAGTTCACACCTCCTTTTTGCAGGTATTTGGAGTGGGTCGGTGTCTGGAGCTTTAATTATTGTTTTGTGTTTTTCCTGTTTCAGCTGTCCTGGTTCTCGATGTTTCAGGCTTTATAAAGAGGCGATATTTTTTTTATTTTTTTTTTTTTTTCGGAGGCGCTACCTAGCTAGCCAGGACGGCAGTCTCTCACTGACTCGATCACAGTCAGGCTCGCGCCCGGCTCCTTTGTCAACTCCAAAAAGAACTGGTACCTATAGACCTTCAAAGGGGTGTCGAATGGATATCCAGAAGTGGTGTAGGGTATTCCATAGGAGACCCCTTTGAAGGTGCTGGTATATTGATGAAAGGTGGACACTACTTAAGTATACTGAAGTCAAATTCAAATGGATGTAAATGAACCTTGAAGCAAACATGCTGTGTGTCTCAACGCACATTGGAAAGTGCAGCTCCAACTTCTTCCAAGGTCCATGTTAACTCTGGATTGGCTTTAAACAATGTAGACTCTTGATCAATATCGCCCATGTTGACTGAACAAGATCTTCATATGTGAGACTGCACATTGTGCAACAAAGAACGTGTGATCCACCTCAACCACTCTCCCATGAAGGACACAGTCAAACGAAGTCAACTGGGATCCTGGCCATCCCTCGATAATTCGAGCAGTCCAAGTGAGGCGGATGTTATTTGAGCCCTTCTCAAAGCTGCAGAACAAAAAGTGCAGAAAAGGAGTTTTACCAAATACGACCCGGTCAGGCCATCTATAATCTCAGGGGTGCATGCGAACTCTTTTTTGAGGGTGTTGATGTGCCTATCTCTTCTTTGGCTGAAAGGAAGGGCTGGATGACCGCCCAGGCTGGAACATCTATGTAACCACTAGGTAAACACAAGGAGCTTCCAGTGTCCAATGATGATCTGCAAATAGTATAATATAAATATATATATATATTATATTGTATACACTTGGAAAGAGCATCAAAGGTGGATCTAAGAGGGTAATATATACAATAGCAAATTTACAAAAATATAAAAATAAAGAATATATGATTAATGTGAATTGGTGACCCCTAGGGTGGCAGCGATTGTTCTGCTATTTTGGAAGCTGCACTTGCTGCGCTGCTCTCTTATGTCCCGGGCAGCAAAGAACACATTAGCTGTCATTGCCGTGGCACTCACACGGATAACCCCCATGCCGATGAGAACCCCATGCCAGGCCCCATCCTGACTCGCTCACACCGCTCCCTTGTGCTCCAACTACATACCTCCACATCGGTTCGGTGATTAGGATGGCTGAACATGAAGGATCCAATTCCCATCGGTTCGGTTTCGCACTTGGAGCCCTGGGCACCCAGGCCACCAACCTCTTCGCTTGGCCCGCGCCATTTGCATCGACCGAAGGTCGGGCCTAACGACTACAAACCCCGGGTGGGCCGATCAAAGCGAAGCGAGGCCGCGAGGCCTCGCCTTGGCCAGGGTTTGCCTCTGCAGGTTTGTTAGGCTCCATACATGTTTGTGCTTTCGGTTCAATCAGAACTGTACAATTGTCGTTTTATCTTGCACGAACTCCATTGATTTCTCTTGGATGTAGCTGAGTTAGGCTCACCATCAGCTCACCAACATCAGTTAAGAAGCAAACTTGTCCTGCCATGCAGGGGTCCTTGGACGTCTGCACTGTCTGCTCAGATTCGCTGTCCAGTCGCCGCCTGCCCAACCTGTCACCGCAAACAACAAGCGCTGCGTCTAGTCTAGATTCTTTTGGATCTTGGCCCTGTATATACCCTGTACTTCTAAGCAATGAAACAACTATATCCTGAAGCTTTAGGGATCTCCAAAAGGCCTGCTTGAAGCAGCCGGCACCACCAGGTCTGAGACGACGGCTGGTACAGCTGGGCTGGTGGTGGCTGGTCACAAACGCTTCGGGTGGCGGAGGTTTCCGACCGGATTTGCAGCTTTGGATTTGTGTCCTTTTCTTGGGCTCCTGGCCTAGCTCCTTTTCCAAGGATGGTTGGGGGGGGGGAATTGGGGGGTCCAAATATGGTTGGAGCCCTCGGTGGTCCAAGACGGTTCAACGTACACCGTCTTCCCCACCCTTTGGGGATAGTTCGGAACACCTCCGACGCACCGCGAACGAATGGTGAGTACCGAGGGCAGGCCCAATGTCACCTACCCCATCGTCCCAAACAGCATTGATGAGGGGATATGGATACCCCGGGTCTTGCTGGGTCTTGACTCCTAATATGGATAGGGGTCTTGAAATACCTCTTGCTAAGGATTCTAGACTGAAAACCAGCTGGTCAAACAAACTCTGAACGAACCGTCTCCAGGTCCTTGGAGTGGATCCTACGGGTCAACCCCCGGCGTTCGGAGTTGGTTGCTTCAACCGAACAAAACCACCGCAACCAAACCCGACAGGGAACGGGTTTGGGGTTGAAAACGGGTCTCATGATGTCTCATGGGTGTCAACCCTACAGATCTCATTGGCCTGGCTCTCATGATGTGGAATTCTGTATGTCGAATCCCATCAGCCATGACTCCTGCAGGTAGATTTGGGTTCCCTTTGGATCTGATCGACAACATCTGACAAACAAATACATGCTAGACCCATACACGTCACCACCCGCCGGCCTTCTCATGCAATTCCACACACAGCTGACCCACCTGTTCGGTTGAATAGCTACCCCACCTTGTACCAGCGCTTCTTCTTTGACTTCATCAGCTTCAACGTCAACTTCTGACTGCCTCGGCTCCCCCCAATGAGCAATGTCTTCCAGCCGGTCTAGCCCTTTTCTTCCAAACGGACCCGCAGAAGAGCTGCTCTGAGGCCACCAGGGCAGTTCTGGCTCCCATCGCTTCATGTTTTCCAACTTCTTCAGGGTCCATGCGACGTTTCCCTTCCACAGCAGTGAGACATGAGCTGCGGTTGTCTGACACCGGAATCGGCTGGACCACCCCAGTTCTGAACAAACGAACAAACAGCCCATTTTTTTGCCTCTCCCATATGTACCACAGGTCTTCGAGGGAGACCTCAACCTCTCTTGGACGAAGGCCAAGCTGCCAAGCTCTACATGGATGTGTTTTCTGCCGGCCCTGTGGACTCGTTTTGGATTTCGAAGGCCAACCGTCTCCCTCCACATTCCACGCCTTCCAGGCTGCCGAGTTCACGGCGCATCGGATGTGTCGTTCTCCACCCGTTCCGATGGGCCGAACCCGTCCGAAGCGAAGGGCCGAAGCACCAAAGAGGCCGAGACACCGAAGCGGCCGGTGGTGGCCTTCAACTCCAGCAAACTGTCCTCGAGGCGGCGCTGTACAGGAAGGACCCGGCACAGGTACGGGAGGTTCAAACGTATAGCAGCCGTTCACTACCAGTTGTTGAGACTCAACATTTCACATGAGAACTGAAAATCCTCGTCTAGTAACTAGGACTAGGAGCCTCTCCCAACATTCTCTCCCTGCCCCCGTGCCCCGTGCCGCACCCAGAAATCCACCGCAGAAATCCACAGAGCCATTCCTTCAGCCCCAGTCTGCCCCCATCCGATCCCATCTCTACTCCTTACTCATCCTTACTCCACCGGGGACGAAAACGAGAGCCGCTCTCCTCAGGGACGATCTCGCCGCTCAGTGGCGTGATGATCATCTTCCACAAATACAAGTCCTGCACCACCGGAGACGGGCTCCGGTCGGGACCCCGGCACCGGCGCTGTGGGCCGTCGTGGTTCGAGTAGATGGGCGGAAACACCCCGGCGCCCTTTAGTTTGGAGGTTCAGAAGGCACATTGAGGTGTTTCTTGTTTGTTCCATATCTATCCTTCTATCTAGATCTAGATAATGTGTTATTTTTCTTTTCTCATGTCTATTTTTCCCTTTTCAGCTTGTGTGACACAGGATCGAATGGGACGATTGTTTGTGGGCTTTCCTCCATGTGCATGTGAAGTCTTCATTGGAGGTTGCCTGGTAGTACTAGAATGAAGGGATCAGCTGAGCTATTGTCAGGCTGACAGATTCCATCAGCATAAGCATAACTATTCTTTTGGAAGGTAGGTCGCTGATGGTATCTGCATGTAATCCATCCAAAAGTGCCATGCCACTGGGCCCGACATCGGTTTCCAGCATCGAAGACCAGAAGCGTCAGCGTTCGAATCAGCCGATTCTCTCTGAGGTCAATTGTCAATGCGCGTTTCTTCCTGAGTCTGATGACCTCGACACAAGAATGTCACCACTCCAGCACTTGTCAGTTCTTCCGTTCTTCCTTCAACAATACGGATCAGAACCTGGAGGAATCACAACCGTAGAACACCCATGAGGGGCCCTCAAGTTGGTATGGGTACGTGTTCCATGGGTGATGACCTGCCTTGGAACAGGTTCTGTTCACACAACCGGTGTCATCTATGTGGAGACCGAACAGCATTGATGCTGATGCTGCTTACAGTAATCTTATATAGTCAGTCGTATATTCAAGCCGTTCAACACCAAAGTTGGATTTCTTAGTCTACCTTTCTCCGAGTAGAGCAATGCATGTCATAGTTGCCACTGAGGAGTTCAGCCTAACAAACAGTAAGTGATTCCTGTGATCAGCAGAACAATTAAAACTGTTAGGAACAAGCAAGACACCATATGACACTCAGATCAATCGAGTCATGGGAGCAAATCACAAATCGCATTCCCCACCTGAGTCGTTACCTTGAAACTCACATCGATCATCATCGATGAATCCACATTCTCTTGTAGAACACTTCCCCATGCTGCCCTATCATCTCCTGAATGAAGTGTTGGGGTGGTCATTGAGTCAAATTGATTGGTTTATGTTTATTGTTTAAACATATTTTTGTTTGGTCTCCTTTGATCATGTGTTTGCTTCTATTTGTTTATCCTGAACGCGTAATGACTCCTCTCATTCCTCCAGCGCCGGGGCTTCAACATGCCGACCTCCGGCGACCTGGTCGGACGCGCCGAACGCGAGTCCCGCCTTGGCGCCGTAGGAGCCAGGCGCCACGATGTGGAGCTCCAGCCTGCGGAGCCCCCCCACATGGCATGGTAGCCACCCATTGGCCCAAGACTTTTAGCTAGCGGCTCAAGCAAACATCAAAAAGGATCCAGAACTAGAAGTTTTGGTCGCAAGCTGCGAATATGCAAAAAGGGCACTCGAAGCGACAATTTTCGACCCAGGACCCTGCACCTCTGCTTGCCGAAGTATGCCTGGACATGCTCGTTGGAGATGACCTGGACACGCGGAATGGGCGGTGGCGTGGCTGGGCATGAACGGAGAAGACATGCAAGAAACAGCTTATTACAATACACAGCTCCCCGGACTTAAATACCATCAGCTTACATAACTTAAGCCACTGCTTATATAGCCTTGTTTTTGCTTCCAACGGAAGCAACATAGAACTTCCCGACCCCTCCGAACAGCCCGACTGGTCCATCAATATATATATATATGTATATATATATATATACTCGAAACCCCGATAACGCAAGTCCTCTGGTGAATGCGCTCAAACAACAAGCGTGTTTGTGCTTAAACCCGGTGCTGTTTCAAATGCTGCATCTTTGACTCACTCCAATGTATTCAACCGTCACTCTCGCGTCGCTCTCGTGTAGCCGTCCCGTCCAAGTCTCCTTCGCCCTGCCTCGGCTGCTCCGTAGTACAAGTGAGCGTTCAACTCCACATGCACTTTGGCGAACTGCTCCTTGGAACAGTTCGATCATA